CTGTTGCTATCTGCAGAAAGTATTAAAGCATGAAATCCCGCATTTTTTATGTACAAAAGCATCCTGTATCATAACTACATATGTGCCGTTTGTAACAAACCAAACCTCGTGAAAATCAGTTGAAAATTCAGTGAGTTATTCTATTTTACTTGTGCATACAGATCCTTCCTCAATAGAAGTGAATGCACTGTGGAGGCGAAGTGAGACCCACCCAAGATGGCGGCCGGCGAGGACGCTCTCAGGCAGTCGATGCGGCGTCTATGTATATATGTCTATGGCTTAGCGACTTCATGTAGGCTATGGTGTGTTCTTGTTTACCAGGTCAAAGTGAAATCATGATCCTAATAAGAGTACTTAGTAAGCTTATTTACTTGGACCTTAGTTATCTATATTGAATTGTTATCATATGATAATAATCTTTATTTGTAAAGCGCTTTTCAAAGAAGAGTTACAAAGTGCTTCACGTGTCAATAGTTAAACAGACGACATGAAAACGACAACTAAAAGAACTGACTGAAACTTAAATAAATAAAAGACAGTTTAAATGAGCTTAGAACTCAAGTAACATCAGGAAAGGCTCACCAATAAAAGTATGTTTAAAGAAGGAACTTAAAAGAGATCACTGACTGGTCCCGACCAGATTTCCTCAAGCAGTCTGTTCGGCCTCGGGGCGCTGTCAGCAAACACTCTGTCCCTTTTTCTTTTCAGCTGGGTCTCTGGTACAAACTAAAGACCTCACCCTGAGAACCTCAAAGTATGTAATTTTTCATAGTTTACCACAAGTACACTGTGAAAAATGATTCATGGGGTTGGTGGATACCGTTTGGAATAAAGAAAGTTTTCAGCATAAAACAACATTAAATGTTTTAGTCAATTGACAGCTTATTTTAAGGAGTTTGTCAAAATCCAAAAACATTTTTGACATTTTTGGGTAGGATAGAATTGAAAATATAACCTGACCACTAAACATCACCATATCTTTGGATAAATATTAGGTTGGTTCAACTTAATTTTCGAGGTCAAAACAAATCATGTTGGTTGCACTACATTTATTGGGTTTGTCAGATTATAAAAGACTAAATATAATTGAATATAAATTGTTACCTAATTTGTTTAAGTTGAACCAATGGATTTTTTAGAGTTTGTCAACAATAGAAATTTAAGCAATTTCAGGCTAGAATTAAATCACCTCCTAAACTTCTGAGAAAGAAGTGAATTACGAATGTTGGGTAACGTCTATCGTTTACCTGCATCTGGTTGATGAGGACAGAGATCTGCAGAGCCACCTCCTTGTAATTCTCCACCACCAGGTTATAGGCGAAGGAAGCACCATAGACCCAGTCCACTACCACAACGTTCGCATCCTGCGCCCTCAGCAGGGCCCGCGCCAGCTCCTTCACCCAGGACGGCTTTCTGCCCAGGGCCCTGCGAGGGGTAAAGGCGAGAGTAGGGTCGGGTCAGGGAGGGTGGGATTAAGCAACGTGGGAGGATGTTGGAAAGGACAGATGGAGGAAGTGACTTGTACTCTATAAACTAGTGATAAACTTTGTCTAAAACAAACAAATAAACAAAGCTGGTCCCCCCAGATTTACATTTTCTTAGCTTAGGGGAAGCCTCACAATGATTTCACTTTGTACGAATTCCCAAAAATGACTCATAGGACAGTTTTTGTTTGTTTAGGTCATGGTCTTGGGGTTAGAGTGGTTATAAAGTCAGTTTTTATTTACTCAGCTGACCTGCTTTGTCAGGACTGTGTGAGAGTGGTTTGATCGGACCAAATAAACCTTTAACCTTCATCACATTCTCACCCAGATCTCGCTAAATCCTGACTGGTGCGTAGAAATCATCATGATGACATGATCATTTTTTATGCAACTTTTTCTACTTCAAAGCAGTACGAAGAGCACAAACAAGCACACAAATAAAAAATCTATCAAGAGAAATAACCAAAACTATTGCGGCTCATAAAGGGAAAAAGTGTTTTTAAGGGTCCTCTGCTCACCTGTACCCGTGGATGATGACCTTGGTGGGCCGGGAGATGTTGAAGTAGGACAGCTGCTGCTGTGATTCACCGAGAGAGTCCTGGTCAAACTTTTGTGCACAGTCCATGTTTGCTCTGGTCATCAGCAGGTACTCGACCTGCAGCTTGATTCTCCGCTGCCGGTACTCCTGCCAGGTGGTGTTGTTGAGGTCAGCGCACTCATCATATTTCCCCCTTTCCTCTAAACCTGCTCAGTTAGAAGGACATAATGTTGTATTAATTGGGCCTGGATGTTGAGTGTTGGTCTTTATGCATCACACAACAGCAAATGCTGAAATGATGAATTCAGACAATAAAACATGACATATTGTTTATTTGACACCAGATGACGGCCAAATAAAGCTCTTTCTCCTTTCTCTAATACAGTTTTTCTTACTTGCTTAGACACAATTTCGGGAACAACTAAATATTTTGGCAAACCTTAGCACACAATTAAAAAAAAATCATACAAATGAATCACAGATTAATTGAGAAACTGCTTTATTCAGTGTTTTTACCAATTTTATTCACCTGCTCTTTTGTTGTGGAGAGGAGGAGACCTCTGCGTATAATTAAGCTCCCGGTAAAAACATTCGGATCATAAAAACGGTGAGCACAGATTAGCAGGTACTGGGCAAGCAGCGCGTCTACGATGTGCCCAACAGCGTAGGAGAAACACTGATTTGTAACGTGAACGTTCATTTTTGTGTTTTTACTTGTTTTAATCACCTAGTCCCATTGCTTTAAAGAGGAGAAAACCTCTGCAGATAATTCAGCTCCTGGTAAAAAACTCCTGAACAATGAACACTGAATGAATCTTAACCAGGAGAAGTTGTGTCTGGTTGCAATGTGCAATCCTCACCACTAGATGCCACCAAATCCCCCTAAATCTTACAAAGTAGACCTTTAAGGTTACATTACATTACATTACAGTCAAATTGTTTTTGAGAGAGGAAACAAGAGATGGTGATACTTTATCTAATAACACTGTGTATCAATGTTTAACCTTAAATACTGTGCAATTTTGAACACAGAGACAGTCTTATTATTTTAGTATTTATATGATGTCATGCTAATATTTGTATTAAAAACATAAAGTTTTGCACTTAATGCACTCAATGTCCAGCTGAAACTACAAAGGTAATCCTGTTGTGCAGTCAAGAATCATATTTTCTAATGTTTTATATGATGCTGTATTTCAGTAAAGTACTCATGCAGTGTTACGTTTCACAAAGTTCAGCCCCCTTTTTCCTGTTTCACTTGAGCATCTTAAACTAAAACAAGAAAACCTAAAAACTCATGCAGAAGTAAAAAAAAAAATAAAAAAAATACCGGCTTCTTCACTTACCCAACACCAGTGCTGTGATGCAGGCTGTCAACACACAGAGGAGGACTGGTTTGTGTTTCCAAGGCATTTCTGTTGAAGCACAGAAGTAACACAGAGTAGCTGCCTGGTAGCTGTAGTTAGTGCTTAACAGTGTTCAGCTGCTCAGTCCAGCTCCAAATTGGTCAACCTTTGCTTGAGAAAATCCCGGCTCTGTGCAGTGTTGTAATTCTGAAGCGGCTGCTCAGCATTTAACTAGCACTCAGCTGGCACGACAGCGAGGCAGGAATCTATATAAAGCAGTCCAAGAGACTCCAAAAAGGAATGTTTCTAATTACACTAAGTTTCTTTTTCTTGTAAAGCTTCACAACAAACGTTCCCCTGTCCTTTTACTCAGTCATCACATTTGTCAGTGGGCGATTTTTTTCTCTCCCCCCAGACTGGGTTTTTACTGGGCTGACAAGCGGTTGAAGCTCTTTGCCTGGCGGTGAAGCCATGACCTCATTGGTGTTCAATGGCTGTTTGTTTGAAGTGCTGGACTCTGGCCTGGCTGCCCGCTGGTTTGTGTGTGGGTAGATGTGTGTGTCTTTGTGTGTTTGTGTGTATGTGAGGAGGGGTCACCCTGTTGTGTCTGAAGGAAATCAATAATTAGCTGACTGATTGTTCCACTTTCAATACTCTTACGTAATCAACACTCTCTCTAAATAAGCTGTAAACCACTCTGGGGAATTCCACCGCTTTAATTAACCAGTTGCATCACTGTTGGCTGTCACTGAATTATCTTTGTGGATCTTGAAACGGTTGTTATGAATACAGAGCAGGCTTGTCTGGATCTTGCCTCTGGTTTTAAAATAATTACAGACAAAAAGTGTAATCCTTTCCAAGAAAAATAGGTCAAGGGTAGGTTCTGCAGTTGGCAGTCATTTTGTGTTTATCACATGGTGATTTAGAGCTGAATTATAATTAAGGGCTCAAAACAAAAGTATTAATAGAAACATTAAAGGGACAGTTCACCTCATAATCAAATATACATATTTTTCCTCTGACCTGTAGCACTGTTTATCAAGGTAGATTGTTTTGGTGTGAGCTGCAGAGTGTTGGAGATATCAGCTGCAGAGATGTCTGCCTTCTCTCCACCATAATGGAACTAGATGGCACTCAGCTTGTGGTGCTACTGCTCACAGCGCTAAAAAATGCATTTGAAAAACTCAACTGTCTCTTTCCAGAAATCATGACCTGGTTGCTCAAGATAATCCACAGACCTTGTTGTGAGCAGTTTCACATAGGAACTATTTTCTTTTGACCAAACTGTACCTTCTAACTGTATCATTGCGCAGAAGGAAGCGTGCATCTATTCATGGACAAGAGGCTTGTGACAGTGCGACATGTAAACGTTAATGCCATCCCCCTCGGCTGAGCTGTAACGTTAGCTAACTCAGTGGTGCTAGGTGAGTTGGCAGTAGATGCTAGCACAGAAGGAAACATTCATCTACTGCTAGTTCACCTAGCACCACTGAGTTAGCTAATGTTCAGCCTGCTCTCACCAAAAAAACGCCCACATAGGTCAAGTGTGCAAGCAGCTCTCTATGACCCAAACTCAAGTTTATTGTAAGGTGGTGCCCTCCGGTGGCCTCAGTAATTGTTACAGGAGCAGATGAGGAAGTTATGTGACGTTACATAAAAAGTGACAAAGTCAGTGTAACGTTGTCCAAATATTGAAGACGCCCATTCAAACAAATCAAACAAACATGGGACTTTCACCCAGGAGACCTGTGTTCGCATCCTTATGTTGTGTTCACACCAAATTTACATTGCATTACTTGCACTAGTTTGAACGCTTGATTATTTTGTGTTGACTCGTTTCATACGTGCGAATAACTTCACTTCACTTCACTGAATCTATGAATGAACCACCAATCTGTCCTGGGTGTCATACATCCCCAGAGGATCTCAGTGCTGATTGGCTATTGCAGCACAAATTGGTTGCTGGAGTTAAGATTTTTCAACTCTCGCGAAAAGCGTATGGCGCGAAATTGTGCTATTTGCTTCATTTGCACCACCTAATTTGCATCACTGGCATTATGTCCATTGCATCCATCACACCGCTTTGAGGGAATTTGCATCTAATTGTGTCTTTACATTGACTTTACATGTAAATCACTTGCGCACATTGTTTTGGAGGAGGACCCCGAGGCGTTCCCCGGCCAGATGAGATATGTAATTCCTCCAGCGTGTTCTGGGTCTGTCCCGGGGCCTCCTACCAGTGGAACATGCCTGAAACACCTCTAACAGGAGGCGCCCAGGAGGATCCTGATCAGATGCTCGTATCACTCCAACTGACCCCTTTAGACGAGCTCCCTCCGGATGTAATATAAGTAAATGAACATGTACAATGCATAAGTTTTTTTTTCTCCCCACAAGCTTTAATAGTGCACATAACAGGAACAACAGGTGATACTGAACACTCATTAATTGAAGCTACAAGATCTAAACCTCTGTTTTAATGCTGTGTACTGTAGCGTCTACCTCAAAACATCTCTCCTTAGGTTGAGGTAATTATCTGTAAATCCAAAATTAAGGAAGAAAAAAAGAGCAGATACAGCTTATCTACAATTAAATCCAGTATGTGTAGGAATGTGTAACTTTGTTGACTTCCAGTGGTTATATCAGAAACAAAAAAACAAACGAAAAACCTACAATATATTAAAGATATTAGAATAATTAGGCAGAAAATTACAGCATAATAAAATCCACAAATAAGGCCTTTAGAGAAACATCCCGTTTTTTAATGGGTGCTTCATATTTATTTCCACTAAACTTTAGTTTTGACTGTTGCTACAGAAAAATTATATTATTCATGCATAAAAACACAAGCAGACATAAACTGATAATGTATAAACATACTTAGAGTAAAGGACCATAAACTTTTCACTAGTTATTTAGCTCTTATTCTCTCACGCTCCTTCGGCAGCTCTGACGCGAGCCATTCAGTGGTGCGCCTGCGAGCTTCCTCCCAGGTGTATCTGGGGGTGTACCCCAGATCCCTCTTCGCCTTCTGATAGGAGAAGCTGAACGGCGTGTTCAACATGGTGATGAGCTGCCGGTTCAGCGGCGGGACGATGCGTACGATAGGTTGGAGCACCATGCAGACCATCTCCATTAAGAAGCAGAACATGTAGAAGAGCCACAGCGGGTACATGAGCTTTTCTTGAATGCTGAAGCCCAGAGGTGACATCACGACGTGGTTGAAGTCTGAATAACTCACGGGAGGCGTGTCGTCAGCAATGAAGTAAACCTTTCCTCCGATGACGTTTCTTTTTTGTGGATCACTGAGGCTGCGGGCTGCTTGGAGGTGAGCCACCGCCACGTTGCCCACATACACAGGATTCACTTTGGCCTCTGGTAGAGACATGCGATATAAAACATCCTTGTTTTGTATCCCGTCGCCCATGTGGCCCAGCAGGAAGCGGCACCCTTCACCATAGATGTACATGGGTCTGAGGGCGCAAGTGGCCAGGCGGCCTCCATTTTGGAGCACCTCGCTGTGGGCCTGCAGGGTTCTCTGCTCTGCCTCTTTTTTGGTCTTGCTGTAGGCGAACTTCAGAGTGCAGTCGTAAACCGTGTCCTCGCTGCCTTTGATTATGGGTTCACGTTTAGAGTTCGGTCCCATCACCTCGATGGTGCTGGTGTAGATGAAGGACACCACGTTCTCTTGAATACACGCCTCCAGAAGCAGCTGTGTTCCTGCAACACAAAGATGCTTCTGAGTTCATACAAGGTAAAGAGATCTTAATCAGCTTTCGTACTTTTGTAACACCAACAACAAAGTAAGCAGATTATAGTAGGAAAGCTGCAGCTTAACTTTTTCTTTTTAAGAGGGGCTGAAGTTGAAACTCTGAAGAAAGAAAGACAAAGTTTAGTTCTGCTCTCTCTTTATTTGTAATGTCTTGATATTTAAGTCAAGAAATTTAATAAATTCCAATCTTTAAGAGGAAAGAGTGAAGTTGAAGCACTGAAAGAAGGTGAAGTGGCTGTTAGAGTTAAAGTGTTGATGAATTCACATTTCAGTTGAAGTATGAATTCTGAATAAAGTTGGACTGTAAGTTGAAATGGAAATTAAAATTGCAGCACCGAAAGGAAGGAATTGAAGTGTCAGATCAAGTCGAACTGCTCAAAGGAACTGAATTGAAAGCATGAAGTGTAAACACAGGCAGATGTAGCAGTGTACCATATCCAGGAGTGGTACTCTGATTCAGTCCACTTGAAAAGGGGGTCTGGAGCAGTGTTGACATATGTGTGATGACATATGATTTCTTGATAATTGAGTCAAGAAATTAAAATCATCTAATAAAATCCAATCTGAAAGTGTGAAGTTTCCTCATATAAATGCATTGAAGCGACGGCCTTACCTCTGACATTGACCCCGTATAGCTCGCTGTACTCCACTGCGTCAAAAATGTCAATGATGGATGCGATGTGGAAGACGATCGATGCGCCTCGACAGCTTTTTCTCAGGAAATCAGCGTCTCTGATGTCGCCCTCGAAAACGGTCAGCTTTGTGTCGCCTCTACAGTCTGATGCACAGGAAATCAAAAAGAATCTCTAATTAATTAACACAACACAAGGTTTAGTTACTTTATATAGTGCCAACATTTTATTGTGTCTTTTATTCTTAAATAGAATTATTGCTGCTGTCACACAAAAAGCTGGGAGTAGTCAGCGATAATATAAAACAGCCTTACAGTGGACTTCAGCTGTTTTAAAGTTGATCTAAGGGCTTGAACAATTACATAAAACTACTGGTTTCAGAATATTAGTAGTTAGTAGCCTATTAGTTTAGTTTAGGGTAAGATTGGAGCACCAAAATCAACATTGTATTTTTAATTATTAGTCTGTAAATGCTGCGTAATTTGGCTCTTGACAAAGAGATTTTAAAGGAATACTTCACCCCCAAAATGATCATTTCTGTATCAGTTACTCACTCTACGGTCAACGAGGGCACCAAAAACTGAGAAAATTCAGGATAAATTGAAGTCATTGGGGGCCACGTTTAACAACTATATCAAAACATTCATTTACAAATTCTCACGCAACTTGTGCAGTAAAATTCAACTCTCATTTATCCAGCTTTAAGCTCAGTACGTCCGAAACATGTGCAATTTCATTAAAACCTTATGATTAAAAACACACAAGTACAATTAGCCTCAGGTATGGACGAGTAGCACAATGGCGGTGTTTATGTGAAAGTGTTTTAAATACTAATGCTTGTGTTTGGGAAGCACTGTGCACACAACTGGATTAATGAGACTTGGATTTTACAAGAGACAAATGTCCAACTGATCACTGGGAGCTGAAGTATTCCTTTAAATCTCAGTGACGCTTCCCTGATAAAAATAAGTTTAAGATAAAACTGAAACAGATCTAATATTACAAAGTGTTCCCCTGATATCAGTGTTGTTTCACTGCAGCTATAATAACAAGAGTAAATACTGCTACATTCAGATCTAGACTTAACTATTAGTTTTTTTTCCTGCGAAATGCAGCACACTATGGAGACAAACTTCACCCTGTACTGTTTATATATTTCATCTGAAGAGTTTAATAAAAAAAACAGACAGCTTTTACCCTCCAGACTCTGTAAAAGCTGCAGCTGTATGTGTTTGTCCAGCAGTCGAATCTCAGCCATTCTCTCCTCCTCCAGCAGCAGCCTCACCAGCCTCTTTCCCAGGAATCCACTGGCTCCCGTCACCACACACACTTCACCTCTCAGAGACATCGCAGGTCAATTCTCTTGTAGTGTGAGAACAAAAAAACTTCTCTTCCAGTGGAGCTTTTGAAGAGGCTTCTTAAAAGAAAAAGTTCAAAGTGGAAAACAAGAATACACCTTTTGTGTTGCTGGATGTTTTGGGCTCTGAGCAACAGCACCTTGTGCCTCCCAGCTGCAGCCCTTTCACTTTTTGTAAAGCCAGAAACTTTACCAGAAAAAAATGATTTGTTCCAAGGCAGTGTGAAAAAAGGGGACGAGCTCTGCTACTTCACGGTGGAATGTAATGCTCTGTGGAGCGAGACAAAATAAGGGGCTGTTACATTTTATAAGCCAAGGACAGATGCTGTTGGAGGCTGTGATGTGTTATTGGAAATAGCACTCTGTTACAGAGAGAGAACACATGGCTGATATCTGGAGGTTAAGGGATTTTCTTTGTGAAGATGTCCTCTACTATGATGAAGTAACTGGTATGTGGTGGAAGAAGTACTGACGTCTTTTATCTAGCTAAGTAAAAGCAACAATACCACAATGAAAGAAAACTGTGTACATTAGTGACATTTCAATGTTGTCATGGTACAGCCAGTTTTAACAACTTTATATACTATTGGGTAGTTTAACATACACAACTCATCCATCCATTTTCTACCGCTTATCTGAGGCCAGGTCACGGGGACAGCAAGTTGAGCATGTATTCTAGACGTCCCTCTCCCCAGCAACGCTTTCCAGCTCCTCCTTGAGGACCCCAAGGTGTTCCCAGGCCAGATGAGGTATGTAATCCCTCCAGCGTGTTCTGGGTCTGCCCCGGGGCCTCCTACCAGTGGGACGTGCCCAGAACACCTCTGACAGGAGGCGCTCAGGAGGATCCTGATCAGATGCCCGAACCTCTTCAACCAACCCCTTTCAATGTGAAGGAGCAGCGACTCTACTCTGAGCCCAGCCATCCTCCGGAGGAAACCAATTTCAGCCCCTCTCAACCGCAACCTCATTCTTTCGGTCATTACCCATAGGTCATGACAATAGGTGAGGGTTGGGACGTAGATTATTCATATGTCATAAATTTATCATGTTTTATGTATAAAAGCTTAAACTACTTACTCCAGCTGTAAGATAAAAAGCACAGTACTTCTGTCGTGCAGTACAAGTATAAAGAAGCAGAAAATGGAAATACAGAACAAGTTAAGTCCTCAAGTATCTCAAAGTGCCTCAGTTCTGTACATAAAGGTGCAATGTGTAAGATATGGACGTCTATCTTGTGAGGCAGAGCAACCTGGTCTCAAAGACAAGCCGTCAAAAAACATAGCTCCAGCAGCAGCTGTTGGCGTCAGATACAGACGAACAATGCACCCCTAAGGGTCTGTATGAGATGCACCAGTCTTTCACCCACTATGGCTTTCTCATCCCACCTCATCCAATATTGCTGCTTTGTCAGTGGACCTTCACGTCTAAAAATGACGTGCTAGGTAACCTGCAGATTCTGTTGTTGACATTCCACAATCCAATTTAGGCTCATTACTTGAATTGTGCTTTTTAAAATACACTTCTGTTTGCACAGCTGACTTAAAATGTTGGTGGAACATTTTTTACGACTATTTCCTTGTGCAACAAAAGCACTCGGTTAAGCATAGAAAAAAACATCATGGTTTAGCTCAACATCCACACAGGAAGTGAACTGCAAGCTTTTGGGTAAAAGTCAGGGGTCTGGTGGACCCATCCACCTCTGCACCTGCCCGCCCTATAGGGACTTTCCAGCTCTTTGTATTATGTAGTTGCTGGCAGCGTTACAAACATATCAATGCTTTGTCATGGACTTTCCTCGTCCACATACGGCGTGAAAGGTAGCCTGGGTGTGTGTTGGTTGTTGGCGTTCTGAGACGTCGTGTCAAGTTCTGCCTGTTACATGCATTGTCTTCTTTCAAAATACACTTGATTGATGTTTTTCTAACACTCGTGGTTGGGTTTGAGAAAAAAGAACAGGGTTTGGCTTCATAATTTTATGGGATGTGAACACAGCTCTCCCAGGTGAAAGTCGGTGTTTGCTGGACCTCCTGCCCACCCTACATGGATTTTCACCAGCTTAACAGCGACCAGCAGCATATCATGCCGACATTAAAGGACGGCTTTTTTCGTAAGTGTCTGACACCGCAAGTCACTGCCTAACCCAAGACAGCTTCTGTTCCAGTTGGCTGATATTTAACACTTAACTTCCACTTAAAGAAGATTATCTCCAAGTGTTTATGCCGACACACTGTGGAGTGTTTGAGCAAAACTCAGCTTTAACATTGCTGATTTCCTTAATGAACACTTTGTTTATTTTAAACCTCCGAACCTCCAACAAAAGAGACAAAAGGAGACATTTATTTATACAGGCACAGACCCTTTTTACAGCTTTGTTTGGAAACTCAGAGGAATAGTTTAATGAGGTTCATCTCAAAGGGAAGATGAGTAGATCAGATCTCCAGTACATTAACTAAATTAAATTCCACTCCTTACAATGGTACAAGGCCAGATCAGCCAAATAAAACAGATTTCACGTTTCAAGGTGACATCTGTCAGCCAGATGGTCGAACATGTTTTCTCTTACAGTGATGAATTATAGTTGACCATGCTTGCGTGATGCTCTGCTTAGCAAGTGGTGCGCTGGGTCATGAGTGTGTTGGAAACTCCAAGTGCTGCAGGGACTTACCCACTCTTATCAGCATCACCATGTTTATGAAAATCCATTTTCTCCACTTCAGTTCTTAAACAGGACCCTAAAACATTCATTCTCTTATGTTGAGCTTCTTTTGAGGCACTTTCCTATGTAGATGATTTGTTTTGTTGTCCTTAGTGTAGCAGTCGATATCACAGCTGTCTGTTGTCTTATCCGGAAGGTGAAGGATGAGATCTCACATCGGTAACATCATTCTCTTGCATCAGATGTACCAAAGAGTCTCAGTTTCGTCATGTGTGTTAATGTGCTTTTAGACTTGTAGCTGTTGAACTTGAAGGTTTTCTTGTTACTGACGGCTGGTATTGTTGTCATTGTTGTGAGTGCTGTGTGTGTCATCATGGAAAATCTTAATGCTGGTGGCACCTGTTGCAGTGGGAACCACCACAGACACCACAGAAGCTGTTTTGAGTATTCTGCCATGTCTCTCTGTCTGTGGATGGATTCCATCAGCAGGATAACATCACAACTGTGCAGGATGCAGTATCAAAACTATAAAGGTGTGTATTTGAGGTTAAAATAAAGGCCAAGTTTGGGGCATTGTTTCAGCTCTGGGGCCAGAAACTGGGGCATAGGCATTTGTGCTATATTTAGGCTGTTATTTTGCAAGTGTTAGTGGAGCTTTCTGTGGTTGGTTTTGAATGGTGGTGGCTGCCAGTCATTCATCAACATGAGAAAATCAACTCACCAGGCTGTAAACTCTCCTCCTGCCAACTTCTAGCCACTTAGCAACTAGCTGGCCAGGTTGAGGTTTTCAAATGTAAACATCAGTAAACATCAAGGAAGATGGAGAAGAAATGGACACCAGCTGAAATAGCCATTGTACAGGCACTGGAAATAAACTGGACACCTCTATGCCACATCACTTTCCAACGGAATAACATGAACTGTAATATCCTTTGATTCACTAAAACTTGGGCAAAATGGACAGCTGGACAGCTCCATTCAACCAGGAGGGTCTTTTTCTATAGGCTGATCTGACAGAGCAGAGGACTCTGGTGAGAAGAGGAGAGGAGCCGAATAAGGACTGGGGTGACATTGGAAAGTGAGGTGCTGTCCAGTTCCTGCCGTGGATCACTGCTAACGGTTCAGGAGGAGCAACCCTGCAGCTGTCTTGTTGAGGTCCAGATGTGCGGACAGTCAAAATATTCCACAGCCAGAAGCCATGTATTACCAGAACACAAATTACAGAGCGATAAGTCAAAGGAGCTGATGGGATCACATTTCACTGGAGTTTAGCGTCGTATAATTCCATGTGACAAATAAACAAATAAATGATTGATTGATTACACACTTATGAAAACATAGTCATGAATATAATGTATAATTTCTGCCTATATATGCCTATAAATCATACACACTGGACCTTTTAAAAAACTGCATATACAAAACATAACAAGTTAAACGTTTGTTCGTCCATTTTTATTCTCATCAGCGACATCACTCAGTTTTATTTGAAAAATTGAGTTTCATGTGATAGTTTCAAGCCTAAATTAGAAAATGAATTTCCAGTTCAAGTTGAAAATCATTGAGTCATGCTGTCTAGCTTACATCTTATGACTCAGTGTCACATACCTCGGGTATCATTGAAAGCCCATATAAGCCACATTGTGAGTTTGACACTTGGCTACGATACGGAGAATTCAGCTGATTTATCTCAGCTTGTGCATCATCATGATTACAACGGTTACACGCGCAGTTAAGTGTTAGCAGGATAAAGTCATTGTTGTTTTTGGTCTATTTCTGACTTGCATGCACAGTGTGAAAGACTCCAAGGCCTCTATAAATATTAAAGCATGACCACTACTACAGATTAATCTGAGCAAATGAATGATTTGTGCACTGTACGATTACCGCCGCGACTGGCCCCAGCGGCCTTGCGGCCACAGCTCGCAACTGCCGCTTCGACAATGGCAGAGTGGAACAAGGCCCATTCGGACTCAATGTCCCCTTCTGCCCTCGGGACGCGGTCTAAGCTCTCCCGGAGGTGGGAGTTGAAGATCATCTGGACAGGTTCTTCCGCCAGGCGTTCCCAGCAGACCCTCACTGTTCGTTTGGGCCTGCCAGGTCTGCGCGGCGTCTTTCCCCACCATCTGATCCAACTCACCACCAGGTGGTGATCAGTTGACAGCTCTGCTTCTCTCTTCACCCGAGTGTCCAGAACATATGGCCGCAGGTCAAATGATACGACTACAAAGTCGATCATTGACCTGCGACCTAGGCTGTCCTGGTGCCACGTGCACCGATGGACATCCTTATGTTTGAACATGGTGTTAGTTATGGCCAAACTGCGACCCGCACAGAAGTCCAATAACTGAACACCACTCGGGCTCAGATCGGGCAGGCCGTTCCTCCCAATCACGCCCCTCCAGGTCCCGCTGTCATTGCCCACGTGAGCGTTGAAGTCCCCCAGCAGAACAATGGAGTCCCCGGTCGGGGC